ACAGTTAAACGCAGCCACCTTATAACCTCTCCTGCGCTTAACGAGTGTCTTTTGGTCCATAATTTTCAAAACAACTGCTCCACAGAATGTCACTGCGTAACGCAAAAGAGTATCGAAGTACGACTACACAATAAATGTCACAAAATCTACCCGAGCAGTCCCTTCGGGATTTTCTGTCTTTACGTCATCCTAACCATTTCGTACTTGCGGGTGCAAACAATAGAAACGTCATCATTACCTACCGATTCCTTGCGGCCCCAGTTCGAGCAAATCGAGATTTTTTCTAGTATACTGACTGTATATTTGAACGGTAAGTACTGTCATTAATATACGCGCGAGTTACTAGGGGTGCCTCCCGGGGATTTGGCCTCTGGGCGAAATCCCTGCGGGGGCAATAAGCGCAAGTTACTGAGAGTGCCTCCTCGGGATTTCGCCTTCTGGGCGAAATCCCTGCGGGGGAAATAAATGTACTAAGAGGAAACGATCACACAGTTTATATAGGTCCCCTGTGTTTATGGGCCAACTCAGCATGAAGGCTGCGTGTACCAGATTCAAAATGGATATGGGCACAAAAATAGATCGTGTTTCAATCAGAAAGATATTGTCAGTCTTCTATGACCGGACACAACTATAGTCCTTATAACGCTGATTGTCACGATAATCATCAAGAGCCTAAATGGTCGTAGAAATTGCCTACAATAACGTCCTAAGCAAATCGAGTTCATCACGCAGCAAAGTATGTGCAATTAACTAAAATGGCGTGCATAACGGGAAGATTCGAAGAAGATGCATAATTACATATAATGATTGCAGCAGTCTCCTAATCATAATTACTCGTCAGTGATAACCTGCTCACAAGCTGAGGAATAATCACGAAATTTATTTCACATTTACATAATATTAATCACAAGAACAATGCACATTCGCAACATATAGTAATTTCCTGCAGGTAAGTTTCAAATTGATCCAAACCTACTCTCTGTAAGAATGTTTGAGTCACGGAAGAGTTTTTGCACTCGCCTGCCACGTAACCTTGTCCACAGGACTGCTGTC